TATATATATATATATATATATATATATATATATATATATATATATATATATATATATATATATGTATATATATATATATGTATATGTATATATACAGGGGTGTGCATTCTGACTTTTGGTCAGTCGCTAGAAAGGCGACTGAAAGTAACCAGTCTATTAATTTTGGTTGTCGGCTGACTTTTTGAGTTGCCTGTTCTAGTCATTTTTCATTATAGAGCTAAGTGTAGACTAGAAATAATTTGCGTAAATAAAAGTAATATTGTAAACTATTTATAATATACACTATTTACTTTTAGATAAAGCACATGCCAATATATATCTTGTTAGGTTTTTCACTTGAATTGAGCGCTTATTTTATTTAAAAAAATGTGTGTTATTTTTTACAACTACAAATTATTGACAAATATAAAAAGACAATTTACCAATACTTTAAAACTCTTTGCTTTTAATGTGTTGTAATTATTATGGAGCTTAAAAAATTGATATTTGAAAGTATCTCGTTCTAGATAAATTTAATTTTAAACTGTGCTAAAAATTATATAAAAGTTTATGTAACAAAAATTATTAATTAAATCTGAATTTGGTTAAAAAGATTATAATTTTAATTATAAAATTATAATCTTATAATTTATTTGTTTAAGCAATCTTATACTTAATTTTTTGTTTGTTTATCACAAGTTATTAATTTATTTCTTTAAGCAATCTTATACTTAATCTTTTGTTTGTTTATCACAAGTTATTAATTTTTACGTATTTAAAATAGTATTTTTGATAAAAATTATAAACAACTTATAGATAGATTTTATCAGTTACCTGTAAGACATTTGTAAATGAAATTCTTAAACCTATTATGTCAAAACTTAACACGATATTGAATTAATAAGAAACAAAAAATATATTTACAAAAAGAATTCTCTTTAAAAAAAGCACTTCTTCCTATTTATAAGGGAAAAAAAAAGTTTTTTTATTTCCTTTCACTTACAATAATCTATGATGGAGAGTCTTAAATTTTATGTAATGAATTAGCAGACGATTAGAAAAAAACTTTAATAATAATTGCAAAACTATTTTACATTAATTTGAAACTAAATTTTACATTCAACGATTTACTATTTTACATTCCTTCAAAACTATATTTAAATTTTTAAATTCATATTTATTTTCAAGCCTATTAAAATAAACTATTTTCTTATAAAACAATTTGCTTCCCCAAAAATTCTCAGTTGCGATTTAATGCTTTTTTTTACAACCTAATTTTCTGAATAAATGTCACATAAACGATGGTGAAAGATACTTTAAATATTCCAAAAAGTTTTCACCTAACTAAATGCTTTCAACATATTTTACAAAATCATGGAAAAAGTGAATTATTATTAAAAATTATATTTTACAAAATTGTGGAAAAAGTGAGCTGTATAACTTCTTAACAAGGCCTGTCAAAGTATTTTTTTTTTTTTTTGGCAAATTTATTTTTTAAAATAAAAAACTTTTTCAGTTTTTATTTAGGAAGTATTTTATTAAATATATTTTAATGCTCAAATAATTTTCTTATGTTCTTATAATAATAAAAAATGTGGAAAACAAACTTTGACAAATGTAACTTTAAAAATTATTATTATTTTAATGCTTTTTGTTTATAGAATTTAAAAATTTAATTTTTTTTTTTTTTTAGTTTTCAATTTCAATTTAAATTCAATTTCAAAATTCAAATTCAATTTAAAAAAGGAAAAAAAAAAAAATAGAACTGCTGATAAAAATCAATAGTTCCCCTTTTGGGCAACATAAGTGCGTCAACGTAATATTTTTAGTTGTCCTTCACAAAATTTGGTTGTCTGGTGCCATCGGGCGACCACGATTGTACACCTCTGAATAAAGGATATATCCTTATATCATAGTCGAGAGAGACTTTTATGGTAAAAAAAAGTCTTTTTTAACAACATTTAAGCAACATCAACAATAAAGTGATATTTGAATGTTTTTTAAAAGTTAAAGCAGCCAAAATGCAGATGTACATTAAGTTTTATTGATTTGTGTAAAATTGTTGTACAAGAAAAAGGAGATAACATCATTTGCTTGTAAATTAGTTTTTCAAGAATAGCATTAATTGGTTAAACCTAAGAAAAAATACTTTATTAAAATAACTAAAAAAATCTTTTTATATTTAATTAACTTTTATACTTAGTTTTGTTTTTACTTTAATTGCATCTAGAAACTATTTTTTTGATTCTACATTTAATTATTCGATTACATTAGATTATTATCAATTTTTTGGTATCCAGTGGCGGGATAGCTCAGATGGTTAGAGCATTAAAGGAAAGGTTAAAACCCGGACTGTTGAACGATACGAGTTCAAATCCCGCCACCGCCAATTCAGCGCTTGAGTAGTACTTCGGCACGCAAAAATGTTGGTCAATAACGGACGCTACTTTGGATTAGTCTTAATGACTGTTTGTGGCTGTTCCTATGCTAAGCCAACAATATCGTTGGATATAAGAACATTGTATAAAAAAGTATAGCATGAAAACTCAAATAAAAAAAAAAAATTAAAAAAAAAAAAATTCTACTATTCAGAAAAAAAAGTTCTATTGAATCTCTATAAACTTTTGAAACATATGGCCTATAGAAATTCTATATAAATTCTATAGAATTTCTATATAATGTCTACTAATTTCTATAGAAATTGCTATAAAACTTTTTCTTTTATATATATATTTCTTTTATACAAAAAAAAAGAAGAAAAGTTCTATAGAAATTTCTATAGAAATTAACAGAGATTCTGTAGAATTTTATAGAATTTCTACAGGCCATATGTTTCAAAAGTTTATAGAAATTCTATAGAACTTTTTTTCCTGAGTAAACTCTTAATTTGATTATTGTTAATGTTATACCATGATTTAACAAGAGCTTTATCTAAATCTCTCTCTTTTTTTTTTTTGTTGTCCATAAGCGCACTTATGGACTTTATTTGACAAAAAATAGGTAATAGATTTGGATTCGTGTTCAGATTTGTGCAGGTCAAGTAATTAACTCCTGTTGTTCCTTTTTTGCCAAACTCTTTTTGCCATCAGGTTTTTGAATTAATCTTGGATTCAGCAGACCAAAGTACTTTCTTGAAATGCAATATTAGCTTTGATTAATACTTTTTTGTCAAATCCGTTCCTTTTATTGTTCGATTTTTGCTTAAAAAGGTTTTTTATGAGCTATATTTTTATTAAAGCTTTATGAATGAGATATCTAATTGATGTTAAAGACATTTTGTTTCCTCTTAATTTCTTCTTTTTAAGTTTGTATGCTATATTTTTTCTCTTTCAAATCAGTTTTTTTTTAAATTCCTAATATTTCTCTATCATCTCTTACAGTTATTTTTAACATTTGTCTTTGTCCAGTACAAATTTAAAATGTTAAAAAATAATATGAAAATAAAAAAAATAAAAAAGTGATATAGTAAAATTATAAGTTTAATAATAAAATTTAAAAATTCAAAAAACTTTCATAACAAATCATCAATAAGATTTTGTACAATAAACCTTAACACATGTTTATAGATATATACTTAATAAAATATTGTCAAATGTTTGCTTTTTGGTAGTCATAGCAAATGCGGGTAGAACTGGAAACTGGTGCTGAATCAACTGAATCAACAAAATCAAGTGGTAAATCATTTTCTGTTAGACTCATTTTAATTCAGGCAAGGAAAACATTGGTATGTTTGTGTTTTCCTGTTGGAATTGTTCTCTTGAACACTGATGTAATTTTCAGTTACTCTGGTGTTCCAAATCCTTGAGTATTTTTCCTAACGGAGGTTTACGCTTACCTATTTTGCTTGGATTATTTTCATTTTAATTTCTTGGATTGATCATAGAATGATTGTCGATTAGAAATTATTAACTAGTTTATGAGCTGTATGCAAAGATTTTGTTAAAGCTAAAATGTTTGAAAAAATTTGTTGATAGTTTTTCCCCTACAATTAAAAAAAAAAAAAAAAAAAATCCGATGAAGAAATAAAACATAAGACAATAATGTTGTGTTATGTTTTGTCACGTGAATGTTTTAAGAAATAAATTAAAAAATAGTTTTAAAGACTGAAAAAACCTTTTTTTTTTAAAAAAAAGTTTTTTTTTAAATTATTTCAAAATGCCTGCCCCAATCGAACCCTCAGTCAATGTAGTGGCATTTCCTCGTAGCAGCAGGCTATATTTAGTTGATGTAGCAGCACTCCCTTGTAGCAGCAGGCTATAAGATAGTCGATGTAGCTATGTTCGCGCATAAAACTTGAATATTTTTTTCAAAAACTTGAATTTATTAATTTTTTTAATTAAATGATAGACTGCTTGCCCAAACCTAACCCTCAGTCGATGTAGTAGCCCTATCTTGCGAGTCAGGCTATTTGTCAGTCGATGTAGTAGTACTCCTTTGTGAGTCAGGTTATTTGTCAGTCGATGTAGCAGCACTCCCTTGTAGCAACAGGTTATAAAATAGTCGATGTAGCTACGTTCCACGCATGTTTTAAAAATATATTTTAATAAAATAACAACAAAAACACCATTAATTAAAAAAAACTTTGTAGTCATTATTATTGCGGTTTTTTTAAAAAACAATAAAATTTAATGTACTTCCACATTAATTTAATTGCTTTGATATTTCGACAACCATAAAAGTCTTTTTGACTACAATATAAGGATATATATATATATATATAAATACATATCAACCCTCAACCTCATTTTTTTTTGTGAGGTCGGCATTAGATCGGCAAAAATTTTTTAATACAAAAGTCTGAGCATAAAACATAGAAACAAGGTTGGCAAAAAATTGCCGACCTTACACACTTTCACGTCAGTAGTCAGCATTGCCGACCCTAATTCCGAGGGTTGATACATATCTCTCTCTCTCTCTCTCTCTATATCAGTATTTTAATAAATAAAACATGCATATAAGCAGTTCTTTCACTCTTTAGATTTTTAGTTAAAAAAAATTGTATTTTTTAAAATATTTTAAAGGAAGGACATGTTATCCTGGAGCGTGCTCTTGTAAGTGAAACAGATGGAATTGATGATGCACACGAATGACAAGTTATTACAAAATCTCTATATAATTAATGTATTTTTTTTTAAACACATTGATATTTTTGAAAAATGTAATTATTGTATGTTTTCTTTATATGGTAAATTATAATCTTTATACTCTATTTAACATAATTTCTTTATGCTAAATTTTTATGCTAAATTTCTCTTCAATTTAGTTGTATAAGTAAACATGGAAAATTTCTCTTCTTAGCAGTTGTATGAAATATTTATGAATTTTTATTTTATACTCGAGTATAACTATTATTTTCTGGTATTGTATTATATTTCTATTTTATACATCCAGCCAGGTATTGTATTATATATGTAATATATAAGTGCTTTATTTTTGTGGATATATAAAAAATAAATATATTTTGTGTGTTTTTTGTTTTTATTCTTATTATAAATTTAAAAATGTATTTTTAATAATGACAAGCTGTTAGTTTTAAATATAATAAGTATTCCATGACACAAATTTTTTAAGACTTTTTAAGATATGACATGAGCAACATCTAATGTCTTGAATAAACCTAATAAATTTTAATACAATAATAATATAATAAGTTGTAATGCATTTAAAAAAATTCTTTTTAATCCAATATATAATAATAATAATAATAATAATAATAATAATAATAATAATAATAATAATAATAATAATAATAATAATAATAATAATATATATATATATATATTATTATTATTATCATATATTACTATATTCTATGTTTGTTTTTTTTTTATTGTGATTTACAGGTAGTTAGTTTTGAATTTATTTATTGATCAAGTTTACATTTGATGGGAACTAGTTTTATGGTTCCACTTACTGCTGGTGGTAAATAATATAATTTAATATATTTTATGGTTAAAATTTTATTTTAAAGGGTTTGTAACTATAATAATAAAGCAATTGACAATATTAAGAACTTATAATGTCTAATTTGATGAAAATATAACAATGGATGTGCAACAACTTTTTAAAGATGGAATGAATTTTGCTGCTAAAGCAGTCGGGCATGACTCAGCTGGTGAATATGATTTAGCTAAGTTTTTTTACATTGAGGCTTCAGAAGCATTGTTAAAAGTAATTTCCATTGATCAGAGTATATCAGATGCTAAAATTAAAGTGCACCAATACATGGAGAGAGCAGAGTATCTGGCAAACCTGTCAGGTAACTGTATTTATGATAAATTAAATTTTTTTTTATTATTTAATTACTTTCATTAAATTTGAACTCTGAATAGTTCAAATCTGCAAAAGACAATTGCATCTTTGAAAATTGTAAAATTTAGTTGTAAAAATATCTACACTCTTGCTGAAAGTGTGGAAGATAACTACACCCTATTTTCTGCATAAGTGTGTAGTACTTCTAGTCACAAGTACAGACATTATTTATTCAGATTTACTTGTATACTGATATTTACTCAACAATTTTGTAACTAAATTTTTTTTTCAAAAATACCTTCATATTATTTAATTTAAATTAAAATATTTTAGGGCCATTAGTCATTTTACAAAAAAGCAATTAAAGTTATTTGTAAAATATATATATATATATATATATATATATATATATATATATATATATATATATATATATATATATATATATATATATATATATATCAAGCAGAAAGTATGTTAATAGTAAATGTTAAAGTATGTTAATAGTAAATGTTAAAACTGCAAACATATGTAACAAATTTATAAAAATCTTAAATTAGTGCAATAAAAATTTCTAATAAAAGCATTAAAAGTTTAAGTTTAAAAGTTGATTTTTGTAAATCAAGATTAGTTAACTCCAATAAAAAAAAAAAAAAAAAACGATAATATAATAAATAATTTAATATTTCTAAATGAATTAATGTTTTGACATTTTAAAATAAAATTTATTTGCTTTAAAAAGTCAACAATAGTCCAATATTTAATAGTTTGTTTTATAAGTATCAATAAAAAAAGATTATCTTGCAAATAAATAAAAAAAATTCATTATCTTTAGTTTCAATTTTACAATAGTTAAAGTATGCTTTAATCAACAAAATTTTAATGCTATTTTTTTTTTTTGAAAGCACTGTATATATTTTGTTTTAAGCATATTTTTTTTACAAAAAATTTCTTTCTAAGGATGGTTTTATTTTAAAACTACAGTATATCTATATATATACCATAGTTTTAAAATAAATATATATATATATTTATTTTTAAACTACATTTTTATTGTGATCTATGGCAAACATAAAGTTAAAACTATATATTTATTTAGGCAGTGTCTACGCGTACGGCGACCGGACGAATATCTTTACCACTATTTGAACGATGTTATACCACGTGACTAACCGTATTTATAATGGGGTATATTCGTACGGCAAACGTACCACATGACCAACCGGACTAATATTGATAAGATTATTTGTCCAGCGAGTATTTACGTCAAGTTACGTTAAGCCGTACAAACTTGACAGATATTGCTCAAGCGGGTACAACTGTTGGATAGATACTGTTAATTTATATTTTCTTTGCAACTACATATAGATTACAATTTTTATTTTTTATTTTTAACAAGACAGAGGCATGAATCTACTAGTTAAATGCTTTTTTGTGGTGCCCTGTGACAAGACTGTTTCAGCTTTTTGGGACTTTAATAAAAATTAATAAAAAGTTGTTTAATATATAAGAAACTTTTTAAAATTGATTAAAAGACCAAGAACTTATCAATAGGACCAGGATTCGAATGCACACAGTTGTAACAAAAATATAAATTACACAACTTAGAATTAGTGGAGTAGAGTAATAAAAGGCTCTGTTGAATAAAAATCTAATTAGAATAATAAAAGACATGCTACAGAGCTGATGGGAAAATCGTTGACTTTACTTACACACAAATACAAAATGTGAAACCAATAAAGTAATGTGTACAATATTTCATATTGTTTTTGAATAATATTTTTTTCCCAAAATATAGTGGTGTACCAATGGGACCCTTACTCCTCATGTAAGGGAGCATTGGTACAAAAAACTACGTTTTGAAAATTCAAAAGTATTGTATTTAACCATTAATTTTTGTAAACATAAATTATATTTAAATGTTGCCAACACATTGGGAAAATAGCAAAAAAAATTAGTTTTTTTTTCGATTTCTAGTCGAAACGTACCAATGCTCCTCCCTCTCCCCTATATGAAACATTAAAAAGTAAGGTCAGGTTGTTACGCAATGGTAAACCCAATTTTCGGAATCGCATATGCATTAAATGCAATTACCTGGACTACTTTTGTGCAGCACACAACTTAAAAACCTCATTATTGTTAGGTAACCAATAAGGGCCCTGTCAACGTGAAAGCGGCTCATCTAATTGAGGTCTATTTAATATTAACTATTTTCTCCATTTTAGTGATACTGAGATATGGGTAATTAGTAAGTAGTAGTTAGTAGGCTATTAAGTTACGTGGTGCTACACTTATATGGAAATAATCAGTATTGATTATTTTTATTATGACGCATTTTTTTAAGTTCATTCTTTTACACCTAGTGATTCATTAGTACATTATTAATACTTAGTGACACATAGCCCATAATTTCTTATAACTAAACCATTCGTAAAATATAAAGTAATGATAATATTTTCAATATTATCATTACAAAGTGTTGTGGAATATAAAATAAATCATCATATATCATGCAGAATTATTTGCATTATCTGAAACGGGCATAGATTACAATAAAAAAATACCTAAACACTTAAAAAACATAACAAAAGCAACCCTTAGGATGTGTGTGCTCACATTGCCTAATTAATGGATCATACGGAATGTACACAATATACCGTTCACCATGCAACTATGTTATAAGAGCTTTTGTCATGTTTTAGCGGGTGATTAAAGATCCAAAAGGTGTCATATATGTTTTTATAAGAAGATTTTCAGTCTTCGACAAACACGATTTGACAGAAATACGTGATGCACGATTTAAAACTAACCCCTTAACATTATTTAAAAATATATGACTACATATATATTTTAAATAATGTTAAGGAGTTAATAATTACTATTAATTATAGTTATTCAATTCATTTAAGTTAACAGTGATATAAAAATTAAAATAGTAGTCATTGAAAGAAAAAAATATTATAATATAATAAAGAAAAATATAGAAATTATGACTATTTCAGTTTTAAAATTTAAATTGTAAGTAATACCATGTATATACTTTTTTAATTAAAATCACGTGGACTTCGTGCAACCAGCCCTAAAAGCAAGACTCAATATATAAAAAATGTAAGTTAATCAAAAATCTAACCTATCAATATTTAATTTTAATTAAAAGTTATTTATTTGCTCTAAACTCATAATCTAATGAACTCTAAACTCATATTTTAAATAACTCTAATCTCATATTCACTCATAACACATATAAACGGATGAACTCTAAACTCAAATTCTGATTCTAGTTGCAATTGTTATACTAGTGCTAGAAATATTTTTGCAGCTAATATATTTATTTTAACATTAAGAAATACAGTTATAAACTATATTATAATTAAAACTTCTATTTGTTTATTATAGTTTTTGTTATAATTATTTATCTTTTTTTCATTTATAAATTTTTATTTTCTATTTTTACTCTTTATGCTTTTTGTTGTTTATTCATTTTTTTTTTCTTCTTTCTTGTTTAACTATGAGCAGCACCTAATTTATGCAAATTTATAATTGTAGATTGTATACTTTTAAGGTTAAAAGAAAAAAAAATTATTCAAGAACTTCAAGACGATTAAATTTAAAGTTATTTATTTGCTCTAAATTCATAATCTAATGAACTCTAAACTCATATCCTAAATAACTCTAATCTCATATTCATTTATAACACATATAAACTAATGAACTCTAAACTCAAATTCTGATTCTATTTTTTGATTAAATTTTCTGGCAAACCTTGACAAATGCTATGAAACCAACCTTCACAACTTGCACATTGAACTAAATCCCTAAATCTGTTAATATAAGTTTTCTATTAATAATATTAAGCTCATACTTAAAAAAATTTTATTTAAAATAAATTATAATTTAAATCAATAACTAAATCTATAAATAATAGTTACTAAATAATAGTAAAAACACAATAAATAATGAAATTGAAATGAACTTATTAAATAAACTTAAATTACTGACTGACTAACCTATTTTGTATAACTTTTTCTGAAGGGTTCCATAATTGCCTACAAATGCAATGTATAGAAAAAACCTTTTCCTTGCAAAAATTTACTGATTTTGTAGTCTTAGGAAAAATATTTAAATGATTCTCTGTAACACTTTGAAGTAAGTGCTTTCGCATAATCTTTGAATCAAATGCAACAAAAGAAGGATTTGAGCCAGTACATGCTGTGTGTTGTGCAAAAGCCAATGCAAATAAACCACAATCAACACCATTTGATTGCTGTTGCACTGGCAAAACATGTGTTGTTAGAATATCTTTTGAACATTGCATAAGCGAGCAAATTTGCCAGATAATATGGGTTTTTATGTTGCCATGAATCATACTGTCTAAAACACATATCTCGTCTTGCGCGCGTCCAAAAGTGCTAACTGTTTCCCAGTGTAAAGCACCATCATGCAAAATCTGTACAAATGGCTCATTAATACTTTTAATGGAATAGTTTTGTCTTAAAACCGGATCTTGTAAACCACAAACATTTTTTATCATTTTCTGCACTGTGTAGATCACAGTGTCAGACAACATGCATTTGGCTGAAATATCATGTAAATCAGCTGCAGAAAGCTTAGATATTGGTAAGATATGACTTTGTGTAAGAAATTCATCCTTGTTACCAGAACGATCAATTGGAATATAATTTATACTAGATTAAGATAAAAAAAAGATAAAAATCACTATTTGAAAACAAACATTTAATTTAATACAAAAGTAGGGAAACTATAATTTTAAAAGATTGAAAACCTTATACAAACTCTGAACATGACACTTGCAAGTAAATACTTTGTTTCAAAATAAAAATTTTATTGAATAACAAATACAGTATATTATTGAAAACAAATAACTGTATATTATTGAAATGCTTTTAATATAAAACCTGATTACCTTTGATTGCAATTAAAATTCTTATGCTTCTTTTTTAAAAATTCTTTGCAAAACCAAACTTTCCTCTTAGGTGCAGTCTTTAA